GGGGGGGGGGGGGGGAGGCAGATGTGAATGATATAGTTCTTTGGTCTTGTCAGGAAATAAGCCTTTTATCATAATGTTCATGCTAGAAAATTTGTAATTGCATGTGAACGAGTTGAGAGCATCGATAACTATTGAGTCCTAGCCCAGTATTTCTATAATAGTGTATAGTACATCTGATTTGATCTATTTTACAAACTTTTGCAACAATTGAATTATGATACCAAAATAGAATTAAAGAAAGATGATATTTGAAAAAAATGGAAAAAATAATTCTCTGAAAATAAATAATAGAGTCAATAGAAATGGTTTGCATTGAAATATTTCCTCATATGAGATCTTTCAGAAAAATGTACCCAATTAACTTTCAAAATAGAATGAATTTTGAATGAAAAATATGGTCTGACTTTTAATACAATCATTCAATGGACAGGAGATTAAAAAGTTTTTTTTTCAAAGGCAAACAATTTAAAAAGTCTTTTGAAGGTTTTTCAAATGGTTAATTTAAACCTAAAGCATTTTAATACCAGGAGTTTTGTGTAGATCAATAAGTTTTAAAATTTATCAAATAAAGTAACAATGTATCATGTACCTTACCGTGGTGTAGCGAGGATTTCATTGATGGTCTGATTTTGTGAAAAGAAGAATAAATTTTACATTTTTAGGGCCCAAAAGGCAGTTGAGGTGGCATGGCTCAAAAATTACCGTCAAATACACCACTGGTAACAAACAAATACATTTTTTCCAGATTTTTTATGGTAAAAGATGGGTTTTTAGTATATTATTCTGAAAGTGAAAAGAAAGAGTTTGATAAGAGATTACATTTCAATGTTCATCCCAAGGTAAAGGCCTCTTCATTTAATTTTTATATATGATTAAATCATTACTAGCTGTTGCGATAGTGATGTCATATACAGTTAGTTTTAGTGGAATAGCAAGACACAGATGCTGAATGAAAATTGAAATGGTGCAAATCGTTGTTATCAGTGTCCCGAAGACAATTAAAAAGTTTAGAATCCTCTTTACAACCCTTTTAACAATAATTTTTTTTTTCTATGCAACACTTGATAATCTAAGATGAATACCAGTTTATTGCCCTTGCTCTGCCCTTGCCCTCCTGCATGGTGTATCAAGTCTGATTAGCCCAAATATTAAGATGCTAGACAGTAGATAATAAACTGGTTAAAATGAGAAGAGAATAAAGCTAATTTTATGGTTAAGATCAATACAAACAACAATATAGATCCGTTAAAACATCTAACTAGATTTTTAACTCTTTGTGTGTTTATTTTGATTTTAAAATGTTTCTCATTCTCAAATTCCAAACCATCGAAAGTTTTTGCATAGCATTGACTTGGCCGATATTTTCATGATTTAAAAGTACAATAACTAAGAATCTAACTGAAAATTTCAATGGTGCAAACCATTTCTATCAGTGTCCTGTATACATATAAAATGTCTAGAAAACCTCTTTACAATCCCTTTAAATTTATTTAGTTTCTATAAGATAGTAAAATTTTAATAGCAGGTTCTCTATTCTTCAGTTTTATCAGCAATATTCATGTTTTATTTGAAATATTTGTTTCAGGGAATTATACCACTGGGTGAGAGTGAATTTAAACCAATACAAGAACCAGGCCATCCTTTCGCTTTCCAGATTGACAGCACTGAACTTAGTGTAAGTAGATAATCAGAGTTGGAGTGAATGAATTTAGATATGAATGAATGAACAAAGGAATGGATGAATAAATTTAGAAATGAATGAATTTAGAAATGAATGAATGAATGAATTTAGAAATGAAGGAACGAATGAATAAATGAATTTAGAAATGAATGATTGAATGAATGAATTTAGATAAGAATATTATATTAATGAATGAATGAACGAAATAAGAAATGAATGAATTTAGAAATGAATGAATGATATGATAATAAAGTTGTATTAAAGTTGATAACTGCACTTACACTGTAACTGAATTAAATGCCAGAAAAAAATGAAATGAATTAAATGGAGTTTAACTGTCTACTTTTCTGCACCTTATGGGCCAATGAAGTTGGCATTAGCCTAATCTTTTTTGATTTCCATCTGTCTTGGGATCTTTAATGTGCACAGTCTGTAGCACATGGGGCATTGCCCAATCCCTCAGACTGAGATACTGCAACTCCTTTTAAATGCCAAGAGGTGACAATATTCTTAATCTTTATCGACACATTGTGAAGAAACAACAATTTTTCTAAAAGTAATATGGATAGCTGAAATTTTATTTGCAAACAACTTGACCCTGACTAGCCAAAAACAAATTCTTTATAAAGGCCATCTAAGAAAAGGTTCATTATTCCAATTTATGTCCAGGAAAATTTTAACATCAAAGTAACATAGTTTTTGTTTTTATGCTAGAATAGTATAGTATATTATGTTATGTTTACTGAAATTATAGTGTAATTGAGGAAATGTAGGTGAATCCTATATGTATAGTTTTAACAATAGAAACATTGTGGGGTGAATATATCATTTATCTTCACTGTGATATCAAAATACAATAGATAATTACCTTTTACACTTATCTTTTCTCTTTTTTTTTCTCCTTTTTTCTTTTTATAAATTTATAAGAAAATATCACATAAAAACAGAAAAAAGAACAATCACTACATTTAAAGAAGAGAACATGAAATAAGACTCCGATTGAGAGGGGGACTATCAAATTGTCTTTATTTTTATAAGTTTCTTCCATGAGGTCTCATAGTTATGTTTAAGGATAAAAAATTTTGAAATATTTATTAATCTGTTATCAAAATTAACATTTTCTTTAACTTAAAAATAGCTATTGATCTAACTTCTCTATGGCTTGTTTCGATTTCTAATTGAAAGTAAGGTATTGCCAACCAGTTGTGGTTATCTGCAATAATTCATAAACCTGGCCCTGTATTCTGGAAAGGATCTTAGCGCTAGGACGTCCTAAAAACAGTGTTAGAAGTTAAGACCGTGGTACATACTAGCGCTAAGATTGTTTCCAGAATACAAGGCCTGGATCTTCTGTAGAATTAGAAATTGTGTAGCAATCCAGCTCATTATTGAACTTGTGCATGGACTGTTTCCAATCTGTAGAATCAGAAATTGCATTGCACCCGAAGGAAAACCAACAAGAAGTCTTCAAGTTGTGGAAGGTGTCCCGGTTCTGCAGGTCTGCAGGTCTGGTTTTGTTGAACTGAATGATGTTGATGTTTGTTGATTCTACTGGGTTAAGGATTTTGGAAATTTTTATAAAGATTTGTTGTAGTTATCAGTTGATAACTAGTATCTGAAAAAAGATAGGAATAACTAGCTTGACCAATAAGTATCAAAGCATAACAGGTGTCTTCACAACTTGTAGAATCTCATTGGGTTATACAAAGTTTATACAAGATTTCTTCTAATTATCAGTTGATTACTACTACTAGTATCTCAAAATAAGATATTCAATCATAACAAGTATTCAAGCAGGCCAGTATAAAAGTTATATACCCCTAAACAGACTCTCTAGGGTGCTACTGGTGTGCTGCACAATTGCTGATGCTACATAAAAAGCAGGACCATGTTCTTCAAAAAAATCTTACCACCAGTTTTGTCATCCTCAATTTAAGTTTCTCACTTACAACAATCTCTTATCAAAACAGGGCCCAGGCTCATACTTTACTGCACAACTGGCAGGCAGACAAAAAGCCTTGAACCCTGCAAACAAACCATGCTCAACTTTCTGGTATTTCTACTCTATATTTTGTTTTTCATGGTTATGATAAGTTGGTTTCCCTTCTTGTTGGTATCATAGTCAATTTAAAAAGATAAATAAATATTGATTAATGTTATGGTATCTGAAAATAAGATAGAAGAAAAATACTAGATTGACCTCTCCAATCAACGCGTTATATGTTTTTTCTCTTTTTTCTTGATATCGGAAATTACTTGTAATAACAGATCATCAAAATTAATAGTTTCCTTGTCAAGTCGATTGTTTCCTCGTTAATAATTTGATCTGAATTGCTATTTTATTACTTTACCTATTGGTTGGGCAATACATCAACCTAATTACATCCTCTATCTATATCTTCCCATCAGCCTTCAGCCCGTCTGGCCATGTGCTTAGCCATGTGTTGATTAATTGGAGGAAAATTGAGGCTACCAGACTGCATTCTGCCATAGGGATATTCTTTTATGGTTTCTTTATTGATATCTTGTCTCTGTACTTGGATGGCCAGTTTGGCTTTATTAATTCCTTGTTCTATATTCCTAGTTCTACATTCCTAGTTCTACATTCTTCAGGTCAGTCTGGCATTGCTGGTTGATGTAAACATTCTAAACTTTCGTCAATTCTGCTCCAATTTTCAATGGATCAATCAAAAGATGACCTGTCTTTTTTATTAGAAATATTTGCACATTTTAGATGTATTTACATTTTTTTGTCACGTGCTATTTTCAAATGAAAATTCTGCCTTTATCAACCAATGAACACAGGGAGCAGACTGACTCAATGGAGGGACAACTGCTGAGGCTGAAAAAAATTTTGACATTTAGATTTGTTGAAAATAAAATGATGACCTCATAATTTCTAAACCAATGTAAAATGTAAGTAAATCAACTAATTATTTGAAGTATGCAGCTTGAAAAACAAAATGTACAAGTTAGTGCAGATCTTACAACTTGTTTTAATGTGCATTGGCAATTTCTTTCAATTTGTTTTGGTGTCTGTTAACATTTTTAAAATACTTACATATAAACCCTATGAGATCATGCTAGTATTCTGTTAGTCCGAAACTCTTTCTTACTTGCCTCTCATCTAACAGTCATGGGCTCAGTTTTTAGAGGTTATCTGATGGCTAAAGGGTTTCCTTCATTTTAATTAGCATTACATCTATGCATTTGGAAAAATGGAAAATATTTCATATGCTAATGGCATAGAAACAGAGTCAGCTAGTTTTAGACTGACCCCTGTCAATAATAACTATCAGAGACCAGATATAGAGTCAGTTAGTTTCAGACTGACCTCTGTCAATAATAACTATCAGTGATCAGATATAGAGTCAGCAAGTTTCAGACTGACCCCTGTCAATAATAACTATCAGAGATCAGATATAGAGTCAGTTAGTTTCAGACTGACCCCTGTCAAAAATAACTATCAGAGATCAGATATAGAGTCAGCAAGTTTCAGACTGACCTGTGTCAATAATAACTATCAGAGACCAGATATAGAGTCAGTTAGTTTCAGACTGACCTTTGTCAATAATAACTATCAGAGACCAGATATAGAGTCAGCAAGTTTTAGACTGACCTCTGTCAATAATAACTATCAGAGACCAGATATAGAGTCAGTAAGTTTCAGACTGACTCCTGTCAAAAATAACTATCAGAGGCCAGATATAGAGTCAGCAAGTTTTAGACTGACCTCTGTCAATAATAACTATCAAAGATCAGATATAGAGTCAGCAAGTTTCAGACTGACCTCTGTCAATAATAACTATCAGAGACCAGATATAGAGTCAGTTAGTTTCAGACTAACCTCTGTCAATAATAACTTTCAGAGACCAGATATAGAGTCAGTTAGTTTCAGACTAACCTCTGTCAATAATAACTTTCAGAGACCAGATATAGAGTCAGCAAGTTTTAGACTGACCTCTGTCAATAATAACTATCAGAGACCAGATATAGAGTCAGCAAGTTTTAGACTGACCCCTGTCAATAATAACTATCAGAGACCAGATATAGAGTCAATTAGTTTTAGTCTGACCCCTGTCAATAATAACTATCAGAGACCAGATATAGAGTCAGCAAGTTTTAGAGAGTAATATGTTTACCTAAAAGGTGTTTTAGTATTACAAATATCTAGCTGAACAAGAATTCTTAACTTAAAGAACCACATTGTTAAGGAGTTAGTCATTTAGATTATCATACATCTTCAAATAGTACAAGTCAAGTTAGTTGTGAATTATTCATTACGTTTTTTTGACCTCAAAATGAATTGACATCACAATAACTTCTATTCAGTAGTATTGGTTAGAAAGCCATGTGTTTCTTTCAATAGTAATGTATAAACAGTTTGAAAATCAGCTAGTAAGAAAAGAAAGAAACTGCAAGAATAACAACTTGGGTTCATGAGGATTCTTCATACCAGATGGTCTACCAGAACCTCTTGGCAATGAAATTTCTGGGGCACGTATTCATGAAACGATCTTAGCGCTAGGATGTCCTAGAATCAATGTTAGAAGATAAGAATCTAGGACATCCTAGCGCTAAGATTGTTTTGAGAATAAGTGGCCTGGTTTATAGTCATAGCTAGGTACCTAGAATTATGACTTATTCATGCTCACGATATAGAGTAGGATCCTATGATCACCACCTGTTTGACGTAAACAAAACAAATGACCCTCTACGACTGCAGCCCATTCCCAAAATTATAAGATGTACTATTATAAGATTCCCATAAACAGATATAGACAGAACTATGTGTAGAAAATTAAAGGTTTTATTTTCAACGTTTTGACCGGCGTGGCCTACCTCAGCGGGACAGTGAGAGTGACAAAAATGATTCCCATCAAAGGGCTTTTGGGATACGTAAAAAGAAAATATTCCCAGGAATTATATTCCAGCGTTTTGATGTTTAGATAAGATAATAGAGGAATAAAATCCCTAAGGAACAAAATTCTAAGGAGCAATATTCCCAGGAATCATATACCAGTAACAGCACTCCAGTCAGCACTTTCCAGCTGTCTTTTACCGTCCAATCATATTGCTGCAAATCGATGCTGTAAAATAATTCTTCACAATCCCTTTAGATACAAGAATGTCAAGTTGAAATAAACTGCTAAAGAGATACATACTTGACGTTTAAAGTGTCTGAACTTTTCATAGTATTACTCAATAAAGGTAGATTTAGCCTGCAGGGAAAGTGAAAGTAGACATATGATAATGTAACATGTGGTTAAACATGTCTAAGGCGTGTACCTTTAACTCTAACTTATCAATGTCAATTTAATTAATGCTATTATGACCCTTGATCTTCAACTTATACATACACCTGCAATACTGCATGCTTTAAAGATCCCGTGATTATTTGGAATTTGAAGAAAAATTTCTGTCATGATTCAGTAAAAATGGGATAAAAATAAAAAAATTCTTCGGTAATTTGCAAAAGTAATTTAAGATTCCAGTTCTGTAATGTGCTCTGGACCACAAATTGAATAAGGTTTCATGTGTTAATGGATTGATTTGGCGATTGATTTGGTGATTGATGAGCTTATTTGAAACCCAGAGGTCCCAGGTTTGATATCAGCTTATCTTGCCTACATAGCAGATCGAAATGAATATTTGTCAAGCCAGTTTATTACATTGATTTAGTAGTTTGGTCATAAATTTGTACTTAAAACTGGTCTCCATAACATCTGATTTGATGGTATCATTATTGACAATATCTTGCCAAATTTTACCTCATTGCATACTCAGTATACTACATTATTGATAATTATGTATAGCCCAAAACTTACACAGCATAACATGGGACATAGAACTCCATTTTATTCTTATCTATGATATCTATTACACGATCTTTGAGTGAACAAGTTTAATGGTGAATAATGGATCTATAAAGATACCTAGTATACCTAGTATTGATAATGTTTTACAACCTAAAACTTCCATAACAGTTGGCTGTAAAACATTTATTTTTATCTATTTTATGGTTATTTATTGACCAATTTTAATGATGACTAATGTATCTATTATAAAAATATCATCAATATCTCAATAAATCAATAAGATATATTATGGACCTAGACTGTTACATCTTATTCATTATAGCTCAAGGCTTAGCCACGGTCAATCTATGGTCTGATTGTAATAAACTAAACTGTAAGGCCATCTTGTCTGTGTTACAGTGACCGGTCAAATCTATCTAGGGGTCAAATTAATCCTTAAAAACAAAACTAATTTATGATATCCCAAAGCCAAAGTTATCACAAGTTCAAAGATATTTTTTAAGTAAGAAAATGTCATTTTTTAAAGGTATTGTAAAGAGGTTTTCTATATTGAAATGGTGCAATATACATTAAAAGTTGTGAAAACCTCGTTTCCGTAAGATCTCTATACCCGATGATGAATGTAAATTGTTGAAACGTTGTGAAACGCAGGAGTAGTATATCTTAAAATTGTGTTCCTTATTTACTGGTAATTATTATCTATTATAGATGTTCTATCTTTGTGATATCTTCAACTGCCATCATATGTCATACCAAATATTATTTCCTATTTGAATTAATTTGCACAGGGTAATGTTGAATTTCCTGAGTTAACATGTGAAACCAGTTTTAAAGATCTTACTTGACTGCTTTAGTGATTTTCTATATTTAATTAATACAAGTGAGCTCAGTATCACTTTGATTTGGTCATTATGTAAGAAAAAGTGATATCTCAAAAATATTTATTAAAATCTTTTCATCAAGTTATGGAAATAAACCCCATTAAGCACAACTTGTAAGAATGAGAATTAGAAATACCAAATAGGGAAGTAAAAGCTTAGCCATTAATTGTGCAATAAGATTAGGTTGATCCAATTTTAAATGTTGATCTATATTAAAGCCTTAAGTACACAAGGTCTCAATTGTTATTGTCCTATATGAATATTTTGTTATAGTAGTTAACAAAACATATACTAATGTGATCAGTCTATAAATAGTCCATGCTCAAAATTTGAAAGTGAGGTCATAGTTTTTATAGATTTGTGTTGATGTTTACCTTCACATATTTCTGAAAGAGGACAGATGTAAGCTTATTTTCTCGCTGGTGCTGCACATGACCTCATCTACTTGGTTAAGTCGAGCAAATGGCCACTGTGGATTCAATTTTCGATCGCCATGTGATAGTCCAATGATCTTGAATAAGTCATATTCACTCATAATTCCAGTCGACCCAGCTGTAAATGGGTAAGGATAATGCCAAAAGTTTTGGTTAAGGACCAGCTGGTGGAAACTAGAAAGGATCCTCAACTGTGAACAAGTTATCCTTGTAAAATATAGTTGTTTCTTTCATTTGACATCCCCGTATTTTCAATTGATGACGAAATTTACATTATGTTATCTATTGTTTCTGTATTTCAGGGTAAATTAATTCTTGCTGCAGAAAGTGATTATGAGAGAAAGAAATGGTTGGATATGCTGGAGAATTCTAGGAGGGTGTATGTATATTATGTTTTATATAAACTGTGCCGTTTCTATAAATCCGAGAGAGGGGCGATAAAGGGCTCACAGAATTGTCAATGGAGGCTCACAGCATCAGGCATGAAACAAATCAATGGACAATGAGAAAGTCGAAGGCAAAGCTGAGCTAGATATAAGGGCTGAGAACCTACACTGGACTAACGCTCCAAAGCGCGTACACAGGCATGAGAATTTTTCTCAATTTGAGGAGGATTCAAACCCACGTCACCTTATCGCCTAGCAGACGACTGACTCACTACTGACTGAGCTCATCCACTGCCACTGAGTACACGGGAAGCATTTATTAATCTATTTATAACAAAAATTTTGATTTTGTAGGACATGGAAGAATACATGCCTAGCTGATGAAATGATTAAAACATTAGAATCTCAGGGACTAGAAATGGCTAGAGAAAAACAAGATTATTTTGGTATAATAATTTTTTATAATACAGTGTATTTCTAATTGATAAGGGTTTAGGGGCAGAATATCAGCATTGCTGTGACCACTTTTTCAGTCAACACAGCTATAAATGGGTACCGTTATCGGGAATGATCAATGCCAAGAGGTTTGATGAGGGACCTGCTTGAAGAATGTTGTTATCCTTATAATATATTATTATTCTCTGTGTTTTAATTTAGCCAAATACTCCATATTTAATAGTTCAATATCAAAACAAAATACAGTTATTACTACAGTTTTTATCCGATCTTGATGAAACTGGGTATGCATGTATGTATTGATGAGATCTCGGTCAAGTTTGAAATTGGTAATAATTGGATTACAGGTTTCAGAGTTATTGCCCTTTGGCTTGTAGGCCAGTAAAAACTAGACTGATCAGATATTTTGCCCAGCATTCAAATCTGTGTTTGTTTTCCACTGTAGATAGATTAGTATCAGAAGTCAATGCCTTGTCAGAAGAGAAGATGAGAACAGAGGTATTTATCATTACAGTAACACTAATTAGTAGTTGGCCTTTTCTACTCATATTTAACATAATGACTTACAAAAAAATGTCCTTCATTGTTTGTCTTAAATGCAGAAGAAAATGAGAGGTAAATGTCATTAAATTAAATCTAAATAATGTGTTTTTGTACTGAAATTGCCTATTGCCTTTATTTGGTTACAAAGGTCTTTGTTTATTTTGACTTCTGATGAACTTATACATTGTTATGGTTTTTAATGTTAATTTGTTTTTTCTAAAGGAATTAGCTCGTGTTAACAATGAATTAGAAAAGGAAAAAGAAAAATTAGAAAAATTTACTACAGAAATCAGAGAAGAATATGATAGATTAAAAGAGTATGTTACTAATTATATTTTTTTATCATACGTCTACAATGTCTCCCACCCACAACCCTTCACTTCCTTTTTTATGCTACCCACAAGTCATTATTCTATGACTTTCCATGCCATGTGATCTTCTATTTTATCCAAATTTGTTTCAACTACAATGATTTAAATTGAATATTCTATTCAAATATTATATTATCTCTCAGTCAATCTGTGTAATTAATAAACTCACTTTCAACTGTTTGAAACAGCTCAGTATACTAGATTGGTAAAGATCTCAAGAGAATATCGATATAAGTGGATGAGATCTCAAGAGTATTGGAAATATTGGAAATAAATGTTATGTTCTAATCACAAACAGAAATGTCATTGATTTTACTGAAAATGACTTCTATTATATTATGATGCAGATCATGTGTAATTGTGGGATCATTTCCAACTTTGATTATTAAGATCAAGAGGAAAATGATATTATATTAACATTTCAACAATTCATTTCATAATGACTGTAATATCTGCATGTCAGGGTTGAACAATATTTGATGTAACTATTGAAGTATGGAAAAATGTCAAATGACATACCAGGTTCCAATGCCAATACAAGGTTTTCTGTCTGTTAATATGTGTATTAGGGACACTTACCTGTTGGGTCCCAAGCCGCAATGAAGGATGAGGTTTTGGCATGAGACTAACGACCAAATCCTGTAAAAAACAAATGTAGGATGCCAACAGCAAGCTTATGCTTTGAGAAGAGGGTTGGGTATAAGCAAATCGTAAGTGTCCGACTAGGCTTAAAAATAACTTTTTAAGTATACTTGTCAATTCTTTTGGACACTGCACCTGGGTCCCTAGTGCATGTCTGAATGTGCATGTCTTGATAAGGACAGGATACTAGGATGTAAAACTCCCTTCATTTTATGCATTATATCTTATAGAATTAATAATATATGTATTTGAATATTTTAGAGAATTGGATGAAACCACATCAGCAATGTCTGCTTTAGATGAAGATAACCAACAATTGTCATATTTATTAACCGAACAACATAACCAACTTGAGGTAAACTTAAACTTCATTGATATTTTGATTATAAAAGCATTCCATGAAAGCATTGTTCGTATTGCACAGTAAGAGCGTTCGTCTTTACAAATAGTGGTCGTGGGTTCAAATCACGGTCGGTGAGTGAAAGAGTGTTCTTCTATACATTCTTGGTTACGTTACGTGCCTAGTTTTTTAATCACAGTCGGTATATGGACTTTGAATAAGTCATCTTCATTCATAATTCCCAGTCGATCCAGCTGTAAATGGGTACAGATAATCCAGGAGAAATTGATGCCAAGAGCTACATTGTGAGGATGGAGTAGCTCTAGCTCTAGCCAGCTGAAAAACATATAAGTTAAATAATTTGGAGCTATAGATTAATATCAGTGATATTTTTACTCCAGTCGTTAAATGGTGAAAAAGAAAATATATTAAAGAAGATGAAGAACCATGTTAAAATGACGTCGAAATTAAGTATAGAGAATAAAGAAATGTCCGAAGAGAAAAATGTTTTAAACGAAAAATTAAAAGAAATTGAAAGACAACAACAGGAATTGATGAATGAAAAATATGAAGCTGAAGAAAGGTGCGTGGTCTGTTTTTTGGTTGTTGTCACGCTTCAGGGGGGAAGGAGAGGGGAACTCAGGGTTTTAACCTGGGTCCCGCCTTTCTTAATTCTTTTGTAAGAGCTTGTACTTGATTATGACACCTCAAATGTGAAGTTTTTCTTTTAATCTTTTAAAAACTATTGCCATGTTGAAAATTTAAGAAGAAATAGTAATATTAATTGAACCAAACAAATATAACTGAATGAAAGATTCTGAATGTCATTTAATTATGGTGATAGGATTTGTAAGGAGACAATGAGCCAACTTACATATGTCGTAGCATCAGAGTTTCTCTCACCTTAAGGAACCATAGCACCTAAACAGCAGAGCAGACTTAGCAGACCACAATCCAACTCGCCACTGACTGAGCTTTTCCACTATTACTTTTAGCACCTTTTTCCTTGGACAAAAATTTTTCATTTGCTTGTGTTCTCTACTATAAAGTTGTTTTAAATCAACATTTTTTGTTTTAGAATCCGACAGAATCAGGATATGTCTAAACACATAGAAGAAGAGAAAATAGCTTTAAATGAACATGCTCAGGAATTAGAATCCACAATTAAGGTACGTTCATTGACATCTAAAATTTGGCAGTTTTTATTCCTTGATATATGGTGTTGTGAACACCAACTCCGGGCTGATTTTCTGGTGAACTGGCCTCTGCATCAGAATTTATCCATTCCACTGCCGCGTTATAACATTGTGAATTTTGTCTTATGTGTTTTGTAGGATTTAGTTCAACAGAAAGAATTAACAGAAACAGAATTAAGGGTAAGAGATATTCATATTTTGCTGCTAAAAACATTTTGTGTCTATCAAGATTTTCTTGTAGACATTGAACCTATCTGGTGGAGAAAAATTATATTTTATTTCATTTGCGTATGCTATACATATCTTTTATCAAATAGAAAAAGATAAGAAAAGAGTAGCTGTTTATGCTGTCCTTGCATATTGCACAAAATTGCCCAACTTTAACAACCCAATTTAGAGCTGAAATATGTATCCTTTATCCATTTGAACTCAGCTATAATAGATGTTTGTTATATACTACTACTAGGAGTGAATAATTATTGAACAGTAAATCTGTGGTCACATACTCAAAACTCACATGAAGATTTTAGTGTTCAGTTATCTGATTGGTCTATCATTAAAATCGATTTTAAATTAATCAATCATGTACCTGTTAAAATCAGTATTTTATCTTAGTTTTTGAGGAAAGGCCCTGAATCTCTGGAATATTCTATATTTCAGGAAGAGATTAAAGCCAGATTAGCAGCCGAGACGAGATTAAAAGATGCTGAAGTCTCATTGAATAAATTAGATACAGCAGTTCAGAGTAAAACAGCAGAAATAGATGATGAGACGAAGGAAGAGATGACAGTTAATGTTAGAAAATTAAAACGTAATTATTTTATTTTTTATATTCAGTCATGATACAGTCGTATCCAGTATTCCAGTTATCACAAAGACTAGGAATATTCTGGAAAAGCTTGTGCAAATGACCTGAAACAGCCCAAAAATATTTAACGATTGAATGTAGATTTTTTTGCGTCCATTGGTTGATGTTAAATCTTACATGAATGGCGAAGCCACATGAAAATTACATGTTCATCAACCAATGAACATAAAAAATCTGCATTCAATCTTTAAAATTTACATTTTATTGTCACGTGGTATAGTGGTAGTGTTCAGGAATCTATCACTGTACTTTTAAGGATATATTCAATATTATTGATTTAATTGAATAGAGTCATTAAGAAATTGTTGAAATTCCAAATCTTATATTCCACCTTTAGCAGCAATTCTAATTCATCCAAGAAAATTCTTTCTGTCATAATCAATGCCATAAACAATAGTATAAGTTTTGAAAATCATAAAACAAAATTATAGGTTGAGTATATTATGTGAATAATGAGTTTTATTTGTGGATTTTTGTAGAATTTTTTGAAGATTTAGCAGAAGAGGCCAAGTTTGCAGCAGATAAACCAATTATTGTGAAGAATGCCGTATATGCCAGAAAAACCATGGTGAGGAGAGCCCAAACTCTAAAATTTGAAAGGAGAAAACGTTCTACTAGTAAGTATAGTATGAAAACCATGTAATACATTGTATTAAGATAATGGCTTAGTTAGGAATATGTCTATGCTAGGTTCTCAGTACATGTATTTTAAATGAATTCTGCCAATATTTTAGTATGCTCTAAGCTTTTTGGATTGTACTTATGGCAATTGAAATAGAATTTGAATTTAAAGGAAAAAGGTTAATTGGATCTATAGTAAAACTTAATAATTATTGATACCTAAGAATTGTCTTTGTGTTTTTTTCTAGTTATTTTCTATTTCTTTAATAACAAAGTTGATGTCTTTCTGAGTAGATGCCTGATTGATACTACTGTCAATACTTATGATAAATTCCTCTGTCAGATCTTATTACTGTTACTTTCACTTCCGAATTCTTTACTCTTGATTATCTGTTAATTCCATATTAACTTTTAAAATATATTGTTCTGAGATACTGTTCGATATTTGATTAGAGTGATGCACATACCAATATATAAGGCTTATTTGTTTTATCATAAAAGTAATGGCACTTAGGTTTCAAATGTTTTAAAGCAGAAACTAATTTGATATCTGAAAGGTTGTCATATTTCCCCATTAGTCCAGTCAACCCAGCTTTAAATTGGTACAGATAATCCTCAAAGGGTCAATGCCAAGATCGCTGATAGAAAGGATCCTGGTGAATCTAAGTTCTTGTAAGAAATTGTTCTTTCTTTCTGGGAAAGTTATCAAATTTCAAATCATGTAATATGTATAAAAAGTCAGTATTCAGCATAGTGCCTCACTCTAATCAATGAAGCGCTTATCTGATAGTTAACAGTGTTTTAAATTCTGTCTTGTTTTCTACTAGGCTCTCTATTAAACCTCTGTCCTGAACCTTTCATCTATTGGTCCTTTACTCTCTGAAGGGCAGGTAACTCTTTATGCCTTTATTTTCAGGCATGTCTTTTTAAAATCTACACTAGTTACTGTTACTGTTATATTGTTATCACCTTTCTGCAACCTTGTGTAAAACATATCATTAGTTGTTGTAGTTATTGAACAATATAGATAACTTCATGTTAAAAGAAATATTTTGCTTGTCCTTTTTAGATCACACAAAAATTTATTGCAACCATTTATTTGCAATCTTTGCAAATAAATCGTTAGCTCTTGTAGTCATTGAAAAATAAAATACCCACACATATATTTATAACTTCATGTTTAAAACAGGTCTTTTGCTTGTCCCATATAAGATCACAAGAGAATTTATTTCTGCATCTTTCTACATAACTATCATCAATGTATCAATGTAGCCATGGTTCCTTAGAAAAGTTCTAGATGGAAATACTTTCCTGATGATATTTTTCAGTTAATACCCCTGAACTATACAAACATTTGCAATCTTTAATCTTGAATATCTGGTTGAAATTTATCACTAGGATTGGATTTTTTTTAGATATCAGAAATTGTTCGTTTGCTTCATTGACTTCTTGACGTTAAAAATATAATAGTTCCATTCACAACTTGTCATTGGCATATTCAGAGACTCATGAGATTTACTTTATAATCTCCATTTAAACACTCTTTACTAAATCTTCACTTACTGTTGTTTATTCAAAACCATATGTGAATTCCTATTTCTTATATCAGTCTTATATTTTCATAGTGATTTCTTCACTTCTTAAATCCTTTCTTTCTTGTTTATGTTTATGTGTGTTATTGTATAGAATATGTCTGATTCGATGCTTGTAGTGTATATGTGTATCATAAATTATTCTTTACATTTTACTATAGTTTAGTTAGGCAGTCATTTTACAATAAGAGACATATTTTTGAGCAATGCAAAGTTTTGCTTCTATTACCTGTTAATTTATTTTACAGCGTTTCTTTTCTTTTTTTTTTAAACCAGTTAATATATATGAATGTTATATTCGTTGCCAATCAAACAATTTTCCTTTTTTGACTCTGTGTGAATTGAATTTGATTGTTTTAAATTCATAACTGTATAATAGAGTTCTTATGGAATGCATTATTGAATGAAGTGTTGCCTTGCAAATCAACTGTTATATTTTTTTTTCTGATTGATTTATTGTGTGCAGAAACTTTTGAATTTTTATGCATCATGTCAACATTTCTCAAAAGTGCTTAGTTTGATTTTAATTGCAAATTTGATTTTTTCTTCCGTATATCAAAGAATAATTGCATGTTTGCATATACTCTGTACCATCAAATCTGAAAAATATCTGAATAATTTGAGCTGCTTTAAACCCTTGAATCCCAATTCCAAATTTTAAGTCACTTTGAACGCCAATATCAAGTAGGAAATTCCATACTTTTGATGAGGTAGGAATGCTCAACCTTCTGAAACACCTTATATCAATGTGTAATTGGGTTAGTCAGCTACCAGGCGATCGATCATATAAATGATAAAGGGCATATAGTTTGTAGGCCACATTATGAAACGAAGATGTAAAAGCCCAAAAGCTGTAGATTTTCATTATGATAAATTTAGCAAATGAATTAAATGAAATAAATTCCAAACATTTCCATGGTTATTACAGCTCCACTTGAATCCTTATTTTCCGAGGTAAATTGGTATATTATATTCCAAATTATTATTTCATGTTATTTATTTGGTATATAGTTTTCCCACCCTGCATGAGTTTCCTTTATTTTAAGTTAATTTCAGAATCCACTGTACTAATTATGTTTATTATTTCATCTTTTATATTTCTTCATTTCATTAAATTTAATCTTATTTTATCATCCTTTTTCTTCGTTAGTTGATTAAATAGACGTTTCAAAACTGGCACAAACTAAAGGCTGATATCCCATTGGAAAAGGTGCTAAAAAAAGGTGCTACTTGAAAAAATTTAACAAAAAGTCAAGGCAGTAGGACAATCCAAGTCAGAATTAGGGAAAAGGGTGGATTCAAGATACATAACTGAAAAAAGAAACACTTCGAAAGTTTGATCCTCAATTTAAACTAAGACCTTTGCATCATTTGCCAAGTAACAAGTGATAAGGTTCCAGTTTCAAATGAATTTCTAAATCAACAGTATTTTGATCTTCATGACCAAGGACCCTAATATCATGGAGAATATTCATCTTCTTAAAAACATTGCCTCTTTTTTAAAAACCATTATCTTGAACGTTTTGATACAGGACTCAGAATTATACAGAATTATAATCATATGGCATTGTTTCAAAAATAGTTTGTCTTTATTAGCCAAGAAGGTGCAGAATAGTAGGACATAAAACCCCATTTATTTCATTTCAATTCATTTAAAAATAGTAAAACCCTAGTTACTGTATGGTTAGGACATAATCCTACACTATATAATTGTTATGGTATATCATCATTTGAATTCCCTTACTTATACCTCATGTCCATTTTAACTTAATCATATATATATTTGACCTTTAACCTAATTTCTTGGTAAGTTGAAACACAGTTTATGGATTATAGGGTTTGCATGTGGATATTAATTAGAATCTCTTTGCATGAAGGCCTTAATGGAGATGCATGTACTCTGTCTACCAATTCCAAGATTTCCAAGATTTCCTTCAGAAGAGAAAAAAATATCTTTTGTTGAATAAGAAACATGTTTGATCTACTAGAATTAGAAAAAATAAGTAAATACCTTTATTGCTCTTACTGTTGCAAATTGGTGCAAAGTCTTTTTGTAGTTGTATTAGAGAAACTTCTTGCTAATCTTTGCTTTGGTATTTTTTAAGTTATGAAAAATGAAAATGTTAGCCTTTATAGTTTTTGATTTATACTGGTGCATGGAATCAGAATTAGCAAATTGAATTTGTCTCATCTACCACATGTTTTATAGCATGTTTAAACTTTCTATGCTATGCTATTTTATTAAGATGAATATTTGGTGTTCTCTTTGCTCAATGTTTTTGGCATGTTTTGATTCCTTTTAAATTCCAGTATAATCTTTAAGAAATAATTTACAATTTAGTTTTGCATACAAAATTGCTTGAAGTTGGGCATTTGAAAAATTTTCAAAATTTATTGCAGATCATGAACGGCTATGATTTTAGCAGGTCAAAGTAGAATAGTCTACATATTTCAGGGGAGAAAAAATTGTCATTGAAAACATACAAGTAATTCTATAGTGCCATTCCTTGGTACTTATTTTACCTCTAAAGAAATGAGATACTTTGGAAATATAATTGTACTTGAACATGCTTTTGCAATAATATATTTGACCAACTATTCTTGACATGTTCGCTGTTTTATGTTTTGAATTGGATATCTTGATGTATGGGGGTACTTGGAATCCTCATTTAACCCTTAACCCTTGATTGAGCTAGTTAATAATACTGTTACTAAATCCGTTGAATCAATGATTAAACACAGTATTAATCATTAAGTGACATCAAATATTACTAGTATTATTTTACATAAGGTTTCAACAATTTAGATTATCATATTCATCTGTTGATGACAATGTAAATTTGATAAAATGCTGTGTGCAATGAATCTCAGGAGTACGATACCATAAAATTGTGTTTGAAATAATATTAAGTGCACAGAAAGCTTTTAATTGCTTTATTTATTTTTCACTTGTGACAAGAATATTGGCTTGCAGATCAAGGGTTAAATAGACTCAAACTACCTTTCAGATAGCAAATGTGCCATGAAATAACTGTTGATATAAGTTTCTATCATTATTTACAGGGAGCCAAACGCAAGTAGTATCCATGGATATGAAATTATTAATGAAATCAGATAGACCAATACGTCGATCCCACACTAGTGTAGACTCTTTAACTCGTGACAGATTACAGACAAAATCACTACCAGAGGAGAGCATCGGAGAATGATTAGAGACGATGATGTTAACCAACACAATCAACCTTTAAAAATTAATTATTTGGCTATTTGGTGTTCTGGAGTAGCGTTTTTGAAGAACAGCTTGTGATGTTGGTTTTCTAAGCTGATGTGACAGATCCATTAATAATTACAGGGCATCCAATCCAGTATCTACAATAGTGTTTTCATATGGACAGATAATTTGACCAATATTTTGCCATTACTATTTTAGCAGTTTGAAAATTCGCTACGCCTTGGTTCTTAACAAACACTGTGAAAATTTGTGAACCACAATTCACATCCAAACCACAGCAGTGTTTCAATTCATCTAGTAGAAACATACAGACCCAAAATGTTATGGGGCAAAATGCATCTTATAATGTTTTAAATATAACTTAATTTATATTAAATTTTCTGATATTCTAAAATTTAAGGTTAAACTGAGAGACATGTGTTGGAACAAGACATGAACTACAAAAAGACAGGAAAAGAAGTATTGTGTGAGACCCACATGCCCACTGCATGTATTTAATCAACATCTTTTTTGAATTGATTTATTTTTTGTAGGGTAAATAACACACACTTTAAGCATGTAATGAGCTTCAATAAATGGGCAAATAGGTTGAGCATTAAAACTTTATTATATTTATCTTACTTATGGGGTAGAAAAAGATTTTTTAGGAGATTGAACCAAATGTTCCTTAATATAAAGCTAAACCTTGCCGGGCCTAGACAATAAACAACTACCGGTATCTTTGAAATTATGGAAGAATTGTTTTTATTTTTCAACTTTCAACTGTAGAAATGCACATGTTAATTGTTGAACCATGTACAATATATTGTAAATAGGGAAAACTGAAGATCTTTTTTTTTATCATTTTATTGAACAGTGCACAAATATAGACTGATGTATATAAATGAAAAATCGAGGTTCTCATTTTCTTTTCTCTCTAAAGGATTCAAGACAAGTTTTCTGGTTTCCATAGATAATTTTTAAGATCTTATTTCTTCAATTTTAGAACAATAAACCAGATTATACTGCTACTATTGAAAATAACAAGCAAAATTGATTTACAGGAATATAGACTTCTACATGTAATTGTTTCAGTAATAATGCTCAAAGAGATCCCAGTCTTTCCATGTGTATCAGGGAAACTTTTAGTTTTAAAGTATATAGACTTATGTAGTTTATATTTGTTCCATTCCTGTTTCCTATGATTTCTGCAATTCTTGAAAAAGTAGAAAAGAAAAGATCATAACCTAAAAGGCAATTCGACTCAAAGGAATCACTGATGTCGGAAATCAGAATGAGGAAAATAAAAGCAATAATCCTTTTAATGAAGTAAAAGCTACATGGGGAAACTTGTAAATAATTACTTGTAATTTTTAATCTGTAGAGATGGTTCATCTGTACATATTTTACATTGTAACACGTTTAGCCCATCCCCATCCTTTATGCAATAGCACTGATGTGATTTTCTTGTTATATTATCCATCCAGTTAAATAGTTGTTGATATTTATAGCTCTACAATATCTGTTCCCCGTTCCACAAAACATCTCACGATGAATTTTGTCTAAAGTATGGTATTTCTCAATATAACATTCTACACTTCGACAAATTCTTATGTTAAGATTTTTGTGGGATGGCGCGCTGGGCCTACCTGTTCCTCAGACGTAACACATTAACCCTACCCTGCCCATGCCGGAATAGCTCAGTCGGTAGCGAGTTGATAGGCGCCTACTGGGCCATTAGTTGCCGTGGGTTTGAATAATTCTCTTCAAGGTAAGAACAATTTGGATGCCTGTGCCAGTGCTTCCGAGAGTCGGCACTATGTCGGCTTTCACCCCCTAATACCTTAACCATGTTACAATCTTTAGTCCCCAAACTTATAACGAAAGGATAGGGCCAGATTTTCCTGGCTATATTATTTAACACTCATTTAACAGTGAAAATATTTTGTTATTACAGATGTTGACATTATTACATTATTGTTGAAATAAACACAAATCATGTAAATAAACAAACTGAAGTCAAATACAGTGTTGTTGATCATTGAGAAACAAATTCCCACTTTCTGTCTTTCTCCTGATTACAGTGCCGACGCCAGTCTCCTTGAAACTGGGGGTACAAATAGGGGGCAGACTGACTAATTGGGTGAACAACATTGTTTACCTGGAAATGTCTTCACACTTTATGTACATTACCCGTTTCCAAATGTGTGGTAAATGTTTGTAGTAGGAGTGCTAATTAGGATAGCGTAAAGGGTAAAGTATTTTCAAAAGTGAGGTTCTGAATGGGTGGATGTTTGAATATAAGTTAAAATTTTACACCAAAAAATCAAGAAAACATATTTAAAGAATTACACTAACCGTTTTTTTTTTTGCTCATTTCAAATGTTGCACGACCCTCTTAAACACCCTGTCAATCACCTTCATCTCAGAATTAACAGTATTTTGGGTGATTTTCCCCAATTTTGCCATTAATGAATTGAAAAGTTGTTCTAAGCTACCCATGTCACTTTTTTTTTAAAAGTGGAGAAAGAGTACATTCTGATTATGAAAACCACATTAATGTTGGATAAATACATAAGAAGTTTAATTTCAATATTTTATAGAATATGTTTGTGCGTTTTTGCTGAACTTCGTTAAAAGAATTACATTAAGAATCTGAAAAAATAATCACTAATTCGATTGCAATAATAATAATAATAATAACGGTTTGCAAAATAATTCATTAATTAGATTAAAATGTTATTTCTTGACACATTGAGGGATAGCAAGTATAACAACCTTTAACTAACCAACCATGACAGTTCCACTAGCGCAACATACGGACTAATTTCACTAATTCAGTTGCCATCATTGTCCATTTTAACATAATCTCATTAAAAACAGATTGCAATTTCATAAGCATGACACATTGAGGGATAGCGAAAAAAAGTAGAACAATATGACTCTTTGGCATTCTTACATTCTCGGTAGTTTCCGTTAAGTTGATTCTGTCTCGGTATGGAATGGCGCAGTGATAGTAATATTGCGGCCTTCATATAGTCAATAGCTTGGGGGACTTTGGGGGATAACTGCAGCACTTTCGTATGCATTTCACGCTATCTATAATACGACTATAAGTTCATCGGTTATATATTTTAAGAATAAGAATCTTTATCTTATGTTTTTTTTTTACTTTCTTCCGGCAATGGAATGGAATGACTGCCATTAAATACCATAATGTTGCATAGCGCATGGGGACATTCTCGATAGACCGTGTTTGCCTCTTAGGGTTTCGATATCCCCACAATTAGCTGGAATTGTTCCTTCACACTCGATTATCATTTCCTCTGCTCCACATTGTCATGAACAGGCCTATTACACTGGTTAAAACATCTTTAATGAAATATTTATATATATATATATATATAATTAACGGAGGCATGACGGTAAAGCGTATGTGTAAAAGCTAAAAATTAGAATTCTAACATAAAAGCAAAACATTACTAAATACACTAATTCTAGTTTTACAGCACAAATAACATAAATTATACACACTTTGGTTCAGTTGCTGATGCCAATGGAGGAGCTGAAATCACAAGCAGTTTTCAATAATTCAATAGATTCTGAGACGACTATGAAAAGAATATTCAGGAGGGGGCATTAACCTACCTTATCAATAAATCGATAAACAGATGATAAAGATAATAATAACTTTATTGGAAGGAGATGTTATGCCTTTTGCTTTTGACCAACAACCATTATAAATCCCATCCCATTTTAACCGATCAAACCAAATCCAGTGGTGGCACCAGCCTCCTATGACTCAGGAGGGGACAGGCTGACTTAATGTTGGGACAAGCGTCGAGGTTGGGATTCAAAATTCGGAAATGCGTAGGTGTATGGAGCGCCCGAGAGGGTTCTCCCTGGAGAAAATTTATTTTTTTGATTTGATTTTGGTGCATTCTCACATATATTTTTGCGCTAAATCCTATAAAAATCATATTTTTATTTCTTAAGAAATAAATTTGGGGTACGTGGGAATTTATTTACAAAGCAAACCGAATGTAGAAATATTTTGAAATGCCGAGTTCACCCGAAACCGTAAATTTCAATTAAATGACTCCCAAACACAAGGCTTACTTACTGTAAGGTCTGTTAGTGTATCGTATCAATGTAAAAAAAATGTAATAGTTTGGACGTTAAAGAGACGATAAAGACAAGGTACCCGAATGAAAAAACCTTTCTACTTACTGTATGATTTATCAATTAACAATTTGATTTGACCATTCGGTTTGCCTCCTCCGCATCCTCCATCACCGACTATAAAAATTTCATGGTCGGTCCGTTTCGTCTTTACAATATAAGCTTGATGTCCAAACCAAACCCAATTAGTCTGCAAAAAAAATTTTCATTAGGAGACAAACAAATTGTATAACAATTGTGATGCATCTTTCTTTTATACAGATAAATAAGTTTGTAAATTGTGTTTAGCATTCTTGAGAGTCTTTAAAGCCCAAGTTTTATACTTTTGGATACCCTCATCTTTACAATTATCAAGATATTACGCACTTCGTCTTCTACCTTGACTGTAATGGCCAATTTTCTTGGAACGGAATGGAGCAATTTTATTGGATTGTATGCCAGTGAATACAGCCAACTATAGCCCTATACAAACGGCGTCGTCCACTAATGCCTACATCCACTAATGCCTACAGTTACTAATGACTACAATAAAATAAAGCAGTGTGGAATAATACCTACATAGTGAAAACAACATATCCATGCTAGGAATATACTCTTCCAATATTAGATTTCATTTCTTAACCTAAATATTATTAATTGGAGTCTATTAGAACTGAATAATGTCAATTTATTGTCAATCATTCCTTGTTGTGATATTAGCACAAGTTAATATTAGATTTCTTTTTTCAATACATGTATAATCAATTAACTGGATAATGTCATTTTATTGTTGAATATAAATATCATTCCTTGTTGTGATATTATCACAAGTTAATATTAGATTTATTTTCTCAATATAATCAATTAACTGGATAATGTCAATTTATTGTTGAATGTCCTTCCTACTTAGTGATATTAACATGAGTTGTGATTTTAGCAGAGGATTAGAAGCTTCATGAGTTATCTCAAAGGCCAACACATTCATTGGTATAAAAAAGACAGTGCGATGCAAACAGTATTCCCCAAAACATCTCTGACACTATTTACCCATTTTGGTTTATTAGACATGGCCAATCCTCAGATCGTTGAGTTCGTGACATCACAGAAAGGTGGCCAGCAGGTCGTTCTTGATGGATATCGGTACCGCCTAAACAACAGAAGACAGACCTGTGTACACTGGAAATGTGTAACCGCTGGATGCACAGGCAAGTGTACAACAGTTGGAAACTTTGTCAGAAATTCCAGCCCTCATAACCCGAAGCAGAAGATATGACTATGTTCCGTTATTATTATTATACTGATATATAAATAAAAAAGTGCTATACAACTTTCTGTCTTTTGTCGCCTATAGACAATATTCCACTAAAGTGGACTTGTCCAATTAGAGGTTGGGTAGCTATGATAGCAGGTATCGCTGAAATTCACTAGTGCATGTCTTTCTTTAATTTACACTGTAGGCATTAGTGGATGTAGGCATTAGTGGATGTAGGCATTAGTGGCCGGAACCATACAAACAAACTGTAAATACCCAAAGTTAAAGGGATTGTAAATTTAAATACTTTTTATGCGCCCACATCTCTCTATGTGGACGTATATTGTCGGCATCCCTGTCCGTCAATCGGTCCGTCCGTCCGTCAACATTTGCTTGTAAACGCTCTAAAAACTAGATTTTTTTCTGGAATCAAATGAAATTCGGTATGTGTATACATATTCATAAAACGAAGATCAAGTTCGAATTTGAGCTGTTTTCGATCGTTAGAAGCAGAGTTATTGCCCTTGCCCCAAAATCTTGAATATTTACCATCCGCATGCCGTGGTGGGCGTATATGGTTGTGGTCCACTATCCTTATGTGTATAGGGGATGACATCGATGTGAACCGTCCCAATCTTCTGTCAAACGCCTGAGGGTCTTGCGATTCCACAAAAGTAAGCGTTTGCAAAGGCTGCGGTTCTACGATTGCAAAAGCTCTCTTCCTTCCCTTGTAAAAAGGTATTAAACAATAAACGTCAGCCGAACAAAATATCGAATGAAAAAGCTAGAATAAGTCCTGAGGGCTTACCGAAGAGTCAAAAATCAAGCCAGTTAATGATATATTCATCTCTACCGATCCATGTACTTGACATTTAGTAACATTATGTAAAAAAGAGCATCCGATTGCTTTGCCATAGGGTACAGGATTGCCATATTCTTGGTGTGTAAAGCCATAATCTGTCTGAACAACAACCATATTCTGAAAAATTAACAATCATAAAATTCTAACAAAATAAAAATAAAAATAAAAATAACTTTAGCTAGGTAGAATCGCCTCAAGCGGTACTGAGTTGACAAACCTAAAAGCAAAGTGGCATCTGGTGTTCCAGAAGGGCAATGTAATTAAAATCAGAGTACAATTTGTATCTTGTTTTGTATTCTCATATTTTCAATCTCCATCGTAATCTGAGCTTTTTACCAAAGCTGTGTCGCAAAGGTAGTATTCCTAACCAACCAAGTGTGTCATGTAGAAACCGATTTAATAAAGAGGGAATACAGAAACGTAAAGTGGCTGTCATATCGTTTTATCAAGAGACGGATTCTTTACGATACAATTTGATTGGTCTTTAGTGAAAAACTTCTTAAATTTCACACTAGAGACTACAAATATCAGAAAACGAAAGTGATAAATTGTTATCTTAGTTTAATTACAGATTTCCAGGAAGTTACCCCGCGTTTGCCATTTGTAGGCAGGTATTTACAATTTCTCGGACATTCATTACTTTTGTGTTTAGAAATGTTTTTTTTTTATGTCTGTCACTTTGTCGGTCTAATTAAAGGTAGGTATAAAATAAAGCAAACCTTTACGAAAATTCTTATTTTTTTAAAAACTGTTTTCCCTTGCGTTTCATTTACGTTCGAATCTACTTTACATTCTCCATGTCCTAAACTTGAACCATTTGGATATTCAGCATAATTCTCTTCATTCAATGTCAAATATTCCTTAGGATTGTGGGAATTCATATCTTTGCAGTATAATTTAGCTCTCTGGAAATTCAAAATTCTAGGATACATCCAGTACTCGCCATCGGTTGTGTATTTTGAATTACATACCTTGATATCTCTACATGTATCTATAGCTGTAAAGAATATGAAAAGGAAATATATCAACGTCACTGTATGTCTTGTATAAGTTATGTTCTTTAAAGAGGCGTGAAAACATTTTCATTATCAAAAACGTCCTAAATTATACCTGAAAATATTGGTTGGTTGGTAGATAACAAGTTAACGTTCGCTGAAAATATTTCTAAAGTATGTTATTTATATTTATGTATCTACTTGATCAAACTGAATTTGTTTTAAAATGGTTAATTAAAAAACTGAGAATACGAATTTACGAAAATCGATAATTTCTTCAAAAAAAATCTCCATCTAGGAATTTCACTTCCTATATCTATAAATGTCTTTTGTATAGTGTAATATATAGTTGTTGTTACTATAATTAGGCTATACATGGGAGGAAAGGAAGGTGGATGTAAAGAATGAAATGGTAGGAAATTAGTCAATGTTCCTGGCCGCGGAATGGAAACAGTGAAATTAAGTAATTCGTGGACCGACTCTAATGGTGAGGAAATCGAATGACTTCACATCTGAGTAGCATAGCAGACCTTAGTTAGTTCAACTGTTGAAGATTATGAACACATAACAACAAGCCTTGAACAGCAAGTGCAGCACCAATGGGATACAAAGATTCAAGAATAAAGAATGAGATGATGACAGAAATATTTAATCACAAATTTAATAATCCATTGTAACGCGTAAAAGTTAGGCCAAGCGTACTGACATCTAGATCCACGTCAGTTTGTTTACATTTTAGTTCATTCAACGTAGATAATCATTTCACTTCCTTGTTCAAGTTATTCCACTAAATCACAGCATTGTTGTAAAATACATTTCATTGTCACATCAGGATCAATGTAGATCGATCTGGAGTCTGTAGGTTTTGTTCACTTTTCACACTTATCAAAAGAAGCTAAAATTCGTCCAGAAACAATTCACGGTCCGTCATGTTGGATTTGACGTCGTCTGCATAAGTCACTGACCTTGATTGTAAATGAGTCTTTCCATATTAAGCACTTACTCCACGTTGCGCTTTTGATAAAACTAAATCCATTATTGTCTCTTGTTTGTATTGCATTGAGGAGTTGTTATTTCCGATATGATTTATTGCTGTAAAATGGATTAATTCGTTGACCTATTTATCTGTCGACATGGCCTCATCCACTTCACTACAGTCACTAGGCTAGTAGTACACTACAGCACGTAGTAGCACGGCTAGCTGGAAAACCGGGTCAGAGTTGTTAAAGGATC